TCAATTTGGGAAGTTGTGTGGCTTTGTTGTTCGGGTAGCAAAGAAGGCAGCAAACTTTTCTCTGCCGTGTTTTCTCTCGTGTTTGCATTTGCAGAACTGGCGACTCTGAGGGGAGGCTTGCGTACAGGGCCCTGAGTTTATGTTGAGCAGGGTTCCCTGAAAAGATGGTGGGCAGGCATTTTACAGCTGGCCCCGCAAGGGAACTTTCCACACATGTTTGTGTATTGAAGTGTGTTTTGCCTGTAGCCTTTTAAAAAATATATACTCGTGTATCAACTTTTTTTTTTTTTATTGGGGGGTTGGAGAGAGAAACATTGACCCATTGCCTCTTACGTTCGCCTAGACCTGAAATCCAACCCGAAACCTAGGTACGTGCCCTGACCAGGAGTCGAACCCGCAACCTTGTGGTGTACAGGAGGGTGCTCCAACCAACTGCGCCACCCAGCTAGGGCTTGCTTGTACCTTTTAAGTAAAGGCGTTACGGGGCATTTGTGGTGGTAAAAGTTAAAAAAGACTCTGGGTGAATTACTCCGATGTTCAGCAAGTCATAGTATTCTTTTTAAGAAAAGATACAGGATTCAGCGTTCGTGGTGGGGCAAAAGTAGGTTTGTAGTTGCGAGTACAGGAAACACAGTTTATTCCTGTATCATTATGTGTTAATCACTGTATCACTGCCCACACAGACAACTATAAACCTAATTTTGCCCTTCCCCCTCCGTGTCTTCCTCGAACTTGCCTTTACAGCAGGTGGAATAAGTTGTAAAACATTATTTAAGGTGAAGTGTTGCTTGTTCGGCCTTACACAGTGTGAGAAAGCTGGGAGTCGCTTTCAGATTTAGTTGTTTTACCAAAGCGACCGCAAAGCACCGCCGTTTTCTTATATTTTGCATACTAGTTTTTTCGTTCGTTTGCTTTTAATTCTAGTCGACGGACAATATTCGATGAGTTCCAGGTGTGCAACCCAGCGATCACATGTTTATACGTCATGACGTTGATCACCCTGATAAATCTAGTACCCATCCGACAACAGGTACCCCAAGTTGTAAAAAACCCAGTGGCCTGTTCTCTCTGCCCAAGAGGCCCCCAAAGTTCTAAAAAGCCCAGTGCGTTCTTAGCAGCCTCCTGTTCTCCGTGTCCAAGAGGTGCCCATTCTGGAAATTAAAGGAGATGAGCGATACCACCCAGTGGACACGCGCTGGGGCCTTCTCAGGGCACATGAGGCAGTTTGCTCCTGCTCCGGCCTGTTGGTTAGCTCCCACGGTAGTTGCTAAGGGTATTTTTGGGGAAAGTTTTAGTGGCTGGGCCAGTAGCAGTGTACACACAGCCTTTCTGGACTGTGCTTCAGGGTTCCGCAGACAAAAATGCTTGTGATTCTTATCTGAGATGCTCGTGTGTCCCTCCCTTAAACTGCCGCTTTGTTTTTTTTTTGAAAGGTTAAGGTCGGTGGTGCGTGGGCAGGCTAAATAACCATCTCAGACGGTAAATAAAGAAAAGTTATATTTATTTAATTAAAAGGGATTGGGGATATCCGAAGGGAAGGGCTACACAGCGCTGAGCCAAAGGGTATTGGGTCCTTGATGGCAGCAAAAATGTCCTTGGGACAGTGAAACAAGGACCTTGTCTAGAGGAAGCAACAGCAGAGCCTAGGTGGGCTGCTCAGGCTCGCTGAGAAGTCAGAGAGAGAAGAGGGCCTTGGAGACGGGTTCGGGGGGAAGCCTGGGATGAGCTGCCGTGGCCCATTGCTCCCCTGGTTGCAAGTCTCTGGGGTCCCCTCGGAGGGAAGAAGGGAGAAGGAGATGGCTCTGGAATACTCCCCTGGTAGGGAGCCTGCACTGGGCCCTTTGTCCTGAGTGTATTTCTCTTTTTCTTGCAGGTGGGAATCTTAGGGGGGGTTTCAGGGGAGTGTCACAATAGAATAGTCATCAGCTTTCTGGGTGTGCTGGTTCAGGGTCGTGGTCTCCACTGATTGGTTGGTGCCAGGGCGGGGGGTGTGGGGGGGTCATTAGTCAATGTATCTGGTCCTGAGGCAGCCACTTGTCTGGTTTTACTGCTTTTCTGGGCCTGGAGCTGAAATACACCTGAGGCGTAGATGTTATCTTTAGGGAGGAAATGAATGCTCAGGGGGTCTAAGCCGCATGACCAGTGATGTGCCGGGGGAGGAAAGGTTCCCCTGGAGACCAGGTTCGTGTTTTCCCAGTTTTGTCCCTTGCTGGGCATCCCAGGCTTCCTGCCCCGTGAGGGTCTGTACCTGGCTCATGTAACAGTTTTTATGGATGCTTCAACGTGCCTGGAGGGTTGTGGTTTCTTTGCTTAGGATGGGGAGGATTCAGAGCAGCCGGGGCTTCCGTGGTATGTTTTCATGCACACTCGCATGTAGGTGCGCACATGCACGCTGGCACACGCACACGTGAGCGGCACCGGCAGCATGTTACATGCCTGTCTTCCCTCCTGGATTATCAGCGATGCTCACTGACAGCGGCTGGTAATGGACTATGCCGTTATTAGAAGGAACGCGTGTCCACTCCTGACCACTTAAAGAGCAGAAATAGGCTTTCGTGGTGGAGACGGGGGACGATTGTTTCACCACCAGGATTTGGACTAATGGAGCTTTGGATCTTTGCCTATAGCTACAGAAAAATCTCTAGGATCATTAGATAGTAATTCTTGTAAATTTTTTTTTGCATTTAAAAAAGTTTGTGAGTAAGCACTGGCCAGGTGGCTCAGTTGGTTGGAGTGTCATCCCGTTTACCAAAAAGGTTGTGGGTTCGAGTGTCATCCCGTTTACCAAAAAGGTTGTGGGTTCGATTGCCGGCAGGTCAGGGCAACTGGTTGGTGTTTCTCATATCAATGTTCCTCTCTCTCCCTCCCTCCCTCTCTAAACTCAATAAACTTATCCTCGGGTAAGGATTAAAAAAACAGACTTTGTGATTAAGTAGTTTATAGGTGAGAGCTCTGGGGTCTTAGACAACGCATTTCCTATTTAACAGAGTCTGACTGGAGAAGCTGGACCCAGTGCGAGGACACACTCTTGTTGTGACAAGGAGGTCTCATAAGAAAGCCTCACAGGAGCAGGCATTGTAGGACCGGAAGGGGGGGTGCCCAACGAGGCTGCTTCATTCCCTGACCTTCAGATGGAGACCTTGCGTAGCCCATTGTACAGACGCTCCCTGAGGTCGCCAAGCGGGCAAGGATTGAGAAGGACCCTGAGGGCCAGATCTTGCCCCCGACCCTCCCTGGTTTTCCCTCCAGTCGGTGCCAGCTGCTCTTGTCTGGAATCAGTTGCAGTGCCACCTTGAATAACTCCCTCACATCCATTTGAGAACAGTTTATTTAAATTTTTTTATTAAAAAACTTTTCTAAAAAATACGTTTTTATTGGCTTTAGAGATAGAGGAAGGGAGAGGGAGAGAGAGAAACATCAGTGATGAGAGAGAAACATCGATGGGCTGCCTCTTGCACGCCCCCTGCCAGGGGATCAGGCCGGCGACCAGGACTGGAACTGGCAACCTCTCGGCACACGGGATGACCCTCAACCAGCTGAGCCACACCCGCCAGGGCTGATGATAGTTTTTAAACCTTGGCACTATTGATACTCTGGGCTGGGTTATTGTCCTTTTTTTTTTTTTTTTTTTTAATTTTTTTTTTTTTTTT